AGAGAACAGCAAACACAGTACACAGCCAAACTCTACTCCAAACAGGAGCAATAAAACGTTGAGATTTGTCCTGAATGGCCATAAACCCAGCTAGGAAGTGTTACATGAGTATTTTCTAATCAAACTTGTAAAGGGACCACAGGAAGAGGGAACAAGGAGAATTGGAAGAAAAATGTAAGCTACCAGATTAAAGACGCTTGTAGGCAGGGTATGGCCCACAAAGTCGAATTTATTTATATCTTGCCTTAATTATTTTTATAAATAACTCACGGCGGTGCTTGGCACGCTGTTTAAGATTACCTATTTGTACTTCTCGCTGATTCACAGTCACAGCTCACATCTTGTGTTTTCCCAATGGGGCACAGGGGTTTTCTTAGCCAGATTTCTGCTGACTGTCTTTCAAGCAACCATGGCTCCTTTATGGCCTGTGGACTGCCAACTCCCAGAGTTCCTGAGCCAGCCTGCGCTTTAAACGCTGCCAGCTGCTGGGTTCCTCTGAGAGGGGAAGATGGCGCAAGAATCTACCCCACTGCCAGGATCAGAGAATCAAATCTGGCTGGTCAAAAGGGAAGATTTTATTTTGTGTGATGGGCAGCATTTAAGCCAAGATGCAGCCTCTTCTGTGTGTGGTGCTAGAGACAAGCCTACATCCAGCATAGGGACTAATGGCTGAGATGGATCGAGGGCAAAGAGACCCGTCTGATGCCAGCCTGCACAGCCCCCCCCCCCAAATTTCAAGGCTGTGCAATGTCCCAGTTTCTCACATTCCTGATCCCCTCAGGGACAATGTCTCTGCTCCAAAGAAATATTTCTGCCAAGAGGAACAAGACCAACCCATCCCAATGAACTGACATGCCCAAGTGGCACAAGAGAAGAGAAAAAAAACCAGACATCTTGTCCCAACGGGCACAGATGGATTTGCAAGACGGCAAAACAAAACCCCACCCCACCAGTTCTGCCCAAAGAAGTCAAGAGGACTAGCAACTCACAAAGCCTATTCTGAAGCCAGCCGGGAACAAGAAGCATCTTCAGCCAGGAGGGAAAATACCAAGAGAAGACAAAAAAAAGCAGCCACTAATGGCCATAAGTCAAACCACTGGAAAGCAGAGCAGACTACAGAATAACAGAATTGGAAGGGAACTTGGAGATCTTCTAGTCCAACCCTGTGCTCGACAGGAGGCCCTATACAGGTAGTCCTCAACTTACAATAGTTTGTTTAGTGACCATTACAGCTGCACTGAATAAAGTGAGTTATGGCCGTTTTTCACACTTACAACCGTCGCAGCATCCGCACGGTCACGTGATCAAAATTCGGACTCTTGGCAACTGACATGTACTTATGAGGTTTCAGCTTCCCAGATCACATGATCCTTTTTGGCGACCTTCTGACAAAGTCAATGGGGAAGCCAGATCTGTTTAACAACCGTTAAACCTGGCAGCGCTCTTCCTCCTGTCCGAGGTTTTCATTGTTGTGAGCATTTCTGTTGAGGATTGGCAGTGGGGGTGGGTGGGTATTTGGTTTTTATTTCCCCCCCCCCACATGTGGGTGGTTGCAGCAGATTTTGGTCACTTCACATGACCCTGGGACACTGTGACCGTCATAAATATGAAACAGTTGCCAAGCATCTGAATGTAAATCACAAGACCCTGGAGAGGCTGCAACATTCCAGCTGATCGGCGCTTCTTCTGGGCTCAGCAGAAGCGCCAGGATCAATGTTGAGCTCCAGCTGGAGCCTGGCGCTGATTCTGGCGCTTTCACTGAGTCCTGATAGCACTGCAGCTCCAGCCATCTCTCGCTCAGGCTTTGCGGTGCTGCCACCGGTTCAGCTCATTCCCCTCCCCCGTTACCCCTTTTCTAGGATTCGCGTACCACCTGCCAGGTGCCAATGTACCACAGCTGGTACCCGTACCGCTGGTTGAAAAGCCTTGTGTTAGATTGTTAGATAACCTTTACTGTCATTTTTTACTGTGGGCACAATTGGCACACATTAAAAAAATGAAATTTATTCGTTTCCTCTCAAAGTGTACACATACTGTACATAACACACATTTAAAACATACTATATACAACATATGTATAGGCCTACATCCTTACATATAAGTAACATATAAATATTGTTGTGTGCTGCCTGCATCCCGCGAATGGGGCTTTGCTTGTTTGTGCGGACCAGTTGCTGGCATGCCGTGGACCGGTACTGGTTCATGGACCGGGGATTTGGGACCCCTGACCTATACCATTCCAGGCAAACGGCTGTCCTATCTCTGCTTGAAAACATCCAGGGATGGGGCACCCACAACTTCTGATTCCACTGATGAATTGGTCTCACCATCTGCAACTTAGCCCATCAACTCCAGGCTGAGCCAAACTGGGCAATCTCCTTGCAGGAGTCAGCTTGGCCAGGTTGAGGGTCCCTCCTTCAGCAGAAATTAGGACACCCAAAACTTGAACAGGATATTTTCTACCCCCCTCCCTTGTTCGTGTTGATAATTGCAGACAAAGCAGGGATTGTGCAAAGAGAAACAGCAAGGAAAGGACTGGTGCCAATTCTCTGGCAATTCCTTCGCCCAACCCGGAGAGAAGACACGGTTTTTAAGGACGGATAAGCATCAGCTATGACACTGGTGGAACACTTTAAAGACACACTTACTAGTATCCTCCAAATTATTTAAAGGGGTCTTGATGTCAGCTTAAAGGAAGAGGCAAACTTCCCCAAATTTTATAATGGTTCTTCTCTTCCCCCCCCCCCCCCACTTGCACATTCATATGTCTTGGATTGCAAGAAAAATTAATTTAAAAAGTAGATTTTGGGCATCGGTGGGAAACCCCCTCTGATGCTGAAGTATAATTCCTAAATTTCTTAACTTAACCTGGAACTGGAGAAACAGATAGCATAGCACGTTTCATAATATCTGGATTGAATTCATTTGCAGTCCCAGACCAAGGAAGCACAAAATCCAGAATTTAAAGTACAGGCCCACCATTAAAACCACCTCTGAAATGCACATACAAACCAAAGCTTCATGCACACCCTTGCAGTTGCCATTTGACTTTTTTGACCCCACCCTGCAGACAGCCCTGCCAGGCATCTAAAAATGGCTGTTTTATATCTACTTAAAGAGTTCAGCATTCTTTGCCAGCTTAATTTTATATATATAAAAAGCAAAATAGGCCACGCAGCTGGCAGAGATTACTCCGTCCCTTAATATTTGCCAACACTCACCAGGAGGGATTTCATAATGCCACCCAACTGGACAGAATTCAAGTTTTATCTGTTGTAAAGAGCAATTCAAAATTAATATGTTTTGTCAATGAGGTTAGGAGAAAGGGAATTCTCTCCTTGAGAACCGGCGGAGCTGAACTAGGCCTCTAAAGTCACGTTTTGCTGAGAAGCTGTTCTCCCAACCAAGAACCAAGGAAACTAACTTTTATTTCTTTTACAAGCCTTACAAGAAAACCAGTCTGGTCTAGCGGTGAAGGCCTTAAGCTAGAAAGCAGGAGACAGCGAGTTCTAGTTCCACCTGGGACACCAAGCCAGCCACATCTTCCCAGCCCTAGGAAGGAGGCAATGGCAAACCACTTCTGGAAAACCCTTGCCCAGAAAGCTGCAGGAAGTTTTCTAGGCAGTTGCACTGACTCAAAGGGACCAAAGGAAAAAAAATAATAATGCTCCAGTCAGTAAACAGCCTCCTGTGCCCATGAAGGGTCTCTTGCATGCCCAAGCAAAATTCCACACTTGCATTGTCACAACAACCCTCGAAGGTAGGCCAGCTTAAGCAAGGCCACCCCAGGATTAAGCAGGGAATTGGTGCAAGAGTTGCAGGCCCGGTTGTCTGGATGCAGCTCGCCCAGGAAGGGCGGATGGGCAATGCAATGCAAGGCTTTCCTGGAAGGCGACCCGAGGACCAGCGCTGGCCTCCCTTTCCTCTTCCCGCCACACCTTCTTTCCCCGCCTGCTCCGCCTTTGCGCCCGCAGCCTCGGGGCCAGGGCCGGCCTCAAACGACCCACTTCTCCTAACCCCCTCCGAGTCCGCGCGAAGACGCCCGCAAGAGAAAAGGAGCCTCTCTTCCTCGGGGTAACCCGCACTCCCTTCTCACGAGACGGGAAGCCCTTCCCTGCCCGACACGCGTCTACCTCACCCCTCCCCCCGGGGTTCCGACGACAGCACAAAGCCAGGCACCCGCAGAGGGTTCGGCAAGCAGGTCGTCTGCCCGAATCCGCCCCTTCCGACGTACATACAAAGGCGGCGGCGGCGGCGGCGGTTCCCTCAGCTCCGCAGCTTCCTCGGGGCAGCAGCAGGATAAGGACCCTCCAACCCGCCATCCCGAGGCGCGGCTGAGCCCCGGAGCTCTTTTCCCGGCTCGCGAGTCACCGCCGCGCATACCGCCCCATTCCCACGAAGCGGGCGACACGGGGACGAGGCGACTCGCATACCTGCCCGGCGGCGCGCGATCGCCTCTGCCCCCCCCCCTTCCCCTCCCGCGCTGCGCCGTCACTCCCGGCGGCTCGCGATCGCCCGGCTCAGGCTCCGCCCCCCTCGGCAGCCTATGAGCGGCGGCGGTCCGGACCCCCTCGCGCCGCGATTGGCTCCTTCCAGCACCGTCCCTGCAAGGCCGCGCCCACCAGTAAGAAAGGGGGCGAGCCGGCCTGGGAGAGGAGGAGGAGGGGGGGGGGGAAAAGCTCCTTTGCTCTTAAAGGGGCCGCTGCCTGCCGACGACCGGGTGACTCCCCGGAGGCTGTAGCTGGCCGAGCGGCTCCTTCTCGGGCAGAGTCCCCGCTAAGGCAGGGGCTGTAATGCAACGCCCCGACCAGCGTGCAAAAGGTCACAACTCGGATTGCCGAAGTAAACCCAGCTGAACGCCGGGCGGTTGCTCCCTTCCTCCTCTTGCAGGATCCCTCGCAAGGGATTGCTCCCCCGGCAATGGGAGACGGGCAGAATTGGCCCTGAAAGGCTCCGCAAAAAAACCCCTTCCCCCCTCCCCCCCAAAATTGAAAGAATACCCGAGGCTGCATTCTCACGACACTCTTGTCGCGGGTTAAGTGTCCCGCGGCTTGACACGCGCTCGGCTCAAGTGCGCTGGCGCTCATCTGGCACGCGAAGCCTCGGGGCGCTCGCAGCTGGCTTTCCCCAGTCTGGGCTCGCTGGGATCAGAAGCGCCCGGCTGGGTCAGGGCGGGTGCAGCACCCGGGCGCGGCTGCCCTCCGTGCAGGCTTGTGTGAGCGCGCAACCCGGCGGCAGCCTCTTGTTCGTAGATGCTCCCTCCTTCCCCGCGAGACGAGAAGCTCCATCCCTCCTCCCGGGCCTGCGCCCCGGCTGAGTGGCTTCCCGGATGTTCCCGCTTATCGTGAAATCTTTGCATTTCCTTGTAGTGTGGACGCCTTTGGGGAATCTATCCTGGGAAGTAACGCAATAAAACGCTCGCTGGGTAAACCCGCTTCTGGCCTGAAATAGTTTTGGCCAGGGCGAACTGAATCAGAATCAGAATAGAGCTGGTAGGGACCCTTGGAGGTCATCTAGTCCAACCCCCTGCTCAAGCAGGAGACCCCCACGCCTTTTCAGACAAGTGGCTGTCCAGTCTCTTCTTAAAAACCTCCGGTGATGAAGCACCCACAACGTCTGAAGGCAAGCAGCAGGAGGAAAACTTTGGGGAGATTGCCACTTGGCAGCCTCGAAATAATAAACATGCAGCCTGGGATCCTGCTGGGCTGTGAAACCCTCCAGCCTTCTAGATAACGGGTAATGCAATTTAAATATTTACATATATAATTTACCACGATTAGCCTAGCAACCTTTTAAAGTTACAGTGGCGCAGTCCTCACATTTACAACCATTGCAAAGCCCCATGGTCGTAACTGAGGCCCTTGGCAAAGGGCAGCATATTTATAATAATTGTAGCATTCTGGAATCATTTGGTGGCCTAGCTGGCAAAGTCAATAGATTTGCATAATGACTGCCTGATTCACTTAATTAGTGAGCTGCACGGCAAAAAAAGGTCATAAAACTGGCACAACTCACTTAATCACCTTAACTATGGAATTTCTGATCCCAGTTGTGCTCTTGCTGCATTTATTTATGAGACTTATATACCGCTTTAAGTGCAAGCACTCTCTAAGCGGTGTACACCAGTAAGCAATGTATATATATATATTTACATTGCCCCAACAATCTGGGTCCTCATTTTACCTACCCCGAAAGGATGGAAGGCTGAGTCAAACTGCATGAGATTTGAACCGCTGACCTGCTGAACACAGTCAGCTAAAGTGGCTTGCAGTACTGCACTCTAACTGCTGCGCCACCTTAGCTCATTTCAGTATATACATAATTCCTGAGCTAGGATGCTCTACGCAGCATAGTAAATAATTCCTTAAGCAGAAGAAGCAAAGCTGCTTCGTTGGAACCCTAATATAAATCCACAAATTCTTGTCCCTCCTTTTTTAATCTTGTAAAAAAAATAATAATCAAATAATGGGCAGGTTGCCTTGCAAAGCTGCAGCTTCTATCATAGGTGGTTTTCTTTTTTTCTTACCTGGGACCCCATCTAGGCCATACAAAATAAAAGGGTTGCTATACAGTAAGATGTGGCTTTGCTTGGAAGGTCATTTGAGGTGAAAGGAAGAAGGCATGTTTTTTAAAAACTAGGGGTGCATGGCAGCTGGCTACGGGTACCTGCAAATGGGCCCTGGTCCAAAGCAGTTGCCTGCAGACAAGTCACACAACTCTTTTGCTCCACCCCCTTCAGGGCCAAGGGAGATAATTTGCTGCCTTGACAAGACAAATTGTTGGCTTCCGCTGGAAGCCACAAAGCAGGAACATTCTTATTAAGAGATCCCTGGAGAAAGTCCTACTGTGCAGGCACATCCCCAGAGGGCAGATGTTCTCTGGCGTTCCTGCCGCCTTTTCTGTCTAGAATTGGGATTTTTTTCCCCCCTAGGTGTCCTTTTCTGGGTGCGTCACAAGTGGAATCGGATGGATCCAGGGCCAGATCTTTGGCTGAGGTTTGCTTTGCGGCGCTGGCTGGGGAATTCTGATGAAAGTTGAAGAAAACCAGTTCCAGATAGCATCTGGGAACGCCTGCTGGAGGCTGTTCATCGCTGAATATGACTTTGTAAGTGGTGATAAGCCGCCTGGGAAAATCAAGGGAAATCATCAAAACAATTAAAAAAGAAAAATTAGAATATTTCGGACATGTGATGCGACACCCAGAAAAATACGGCATACTCCATTTAATACTCCAAGGAAAGATGGAAGGCAAACAAGTTTGGTCCAGGCAGAAGAACATCGTGGCTTCAAAATCTAAGGGACTGGTTTGGACAAAACTCAGCAGCACTTTTTCGTGCGGCTGCTGATAAAAACAGGATCGCCAACATCCGATAATGGATGTGGCACAAGAAGACAGCTATGCATTTTGGCAAAATGTATAAAGATGAAATAATGGGAATTCCTAACGGCTTTATTCTCTTCCATTGTTATGTGCAAAAAAACCCCAAAGTTAAACTAGACATGCTAAACAATAGTGCGGCACAGACGTTTACTGGGAGCTACGTGGTTCCTTGAAAACAAGGGGCTTTATTTTACAGGATTGCACATAAAAGTTGCATTTTCCATCCCAACTCTCCCCCCCCCCCAAGTATCTATTGCTATTTGAGGTGTGAAAGGAAAAATACTGGGCTCAATTTCTACCATTATTGCAAAAGGGAGGTCCAGCCCCTCCCCGATTCATTTCTCATGTAGCACAGCAACCCAGCAGTAGGTTGGTAAACTTCAAACAGGAAAGGATGGGTTGAACTCTGCTTTATTGATGTACAAGTGGCTTCTGACGATCCAATACATCTCTTAACAGCAGTAATGTATATAGAGTTACAGAGTGCACTGTCAGGAGGTATGGCTCAACTTGAACACAAGACAACTCAACAACAGCAGCAGCACAAGCAACCGTGGATAGCTTTGGTTGGGTGGAGTGCAGAGAGAAGAATTATTTCAGAGGCCTGGCTCACCTGTGTTAAGTTTCGTAAGGAAAAAAATGGTTTGTTATTCTTCCTACAAATCTTCCTATGCTGTCAAAACCTGAGCAATCTATTCCTGAACCAACCCACTGTGAAAATATATATATATATAATCTGATATCCCTCAGGTCTACTGGCAAGGAGGAACAGGAAATGTTATTTGCTTTCTAAAACTTCCACGGGGCATTAGAGGCAGTTTGGGTCAACCGTGTCGGGCTGGTCAAGTGATGCACATCATGGCTTAACGATGGAACAAGCACTCTCTATGTATCACGCAGCAAGAACTGGAGAGGCCCTGCAAGACTGAGCAAGCTAAGGTGTAGCAGAGCTGGCGAGTGGAGTGTTTTTGGCAGAGTGATGACAACACAGAAAGGAGAGAGGCTGGGGAGGTGGAATTCAGGACAAGTATGACACCAAACGTCGCCTAAAATGCTGTACTAAATAAGCCAACCAAGATATTTCTAGTTCCCCTGCGGAGCAGATAGCTCTAGAAGAGAAACTGGGTGATCCCTGGCTGCTGGATCATACTGGTTCCTAACAAGGCCGGATAGCCCAGGACAAGGAAGAAACGGGGAGAGGTTCCACTTATCAAACTATTTCAAGTATTACTAAATAACTGAAGTCTCTTCCCCCCCCCCCATTTGGCTTAAGGCAGTCACTATCCGTTCTACAGACAAGAACAAGATTGCAAGCAGCTGCTGGTCTAATGCGAGAGGGACAGGTGGTGAGACGGGAGGAGGGAGTGGTCGTTGCCGGGATCCGTTTTACGGGACAGGCACTACACGCATGGTGTTGGTGTAACCGGATCCAGGGCGCCAGCCAGTCAGCACGATGACCAGATCCCCTGACTTGAAGAATCCACGAGCTTTGCCTGGAAAGGGACCGAAACACAAAATGTGAGAAAGGAAGGCTGGTAATGTGGAGTCCCCAGGTGGTCCTTGACTTACGACCGACTGCTTAATGACCGTCTTAACGAAATGGCCTCAGTTCTCCGCAGAGCTACTTAAAATCCATTTTCAGAGTTATGATGGCCACATTCCCTCTGTGGTCACGTATTCTCATTCGAGAGTGCCTGGCTAACTTGACGGCCGTTTTGTGGTGACCCGCAGTCAGGTGACCACACATTTACAAAGGCTTTTTTGCCAGTTTCCATTACTTTTTTTGTTTACTACAAAAAAAAAAAAATAAAATAAATCCACTCATCGGGGAAAATCTGGTTATGTTATGCCCCGACTTACAATGGAAACTTATCGGTGTAATTTTGGGCTCAATTACTGCTGTGAAGTTGAGGACTACCTACAGTGGACCATCTACTCTGATCTCTTAGAAGTGGCTGGGGAATTCTGGGAGTTGAAGTCCACAAGTCTTAAAAGTTACCAAGTTTAGAAACCCGTGTCCTAGAGCAGGGGTAGGCAACCTCGGCTCTTTTATGACTTGTGGACTTCAACTCCCAGAATTCCTGAGCCAGCCATGCTGAGGGGAAAGGGAGAGGTTTCCAAGCTGAGCCATGCTGGCTCAGGAATTCTGGGAGTTGAAGTGCACCAGTCATGAGGGGGCCATAATTCCCCCATGCTGGCTCAGGAATTCTGGGAGTTGAAGTCCACCAGTCATAAAAGGGCCAAGTTTGAAGACCCCTGGTTTAAATATTTAAATATTTTTTCCTCACGGTCATGTGATCAAAATTCAGGCATTTGATTAGGGATAGGCAATCTTGGCTCTTTTATATGAGTCGTGGACTTCAACTCCCAGAATTCCTGAGCCAGTCATGCTGAGGGGAAAGGGAGAGGTTTCCAAGCTGAGTCATGCTGGCTCAGGAATTCTGGGAGTTGAAGTCCACGAGTCATAAAGGAGCCAAGGTTGCCTACCTCTGTTTTAGAAGATAGGAAGGCTAAATCTGAAACACCCACAAGTCTGGGCACATCACTCTGAATACTGGAGCGCGCGCCTATGGTGGTGTACAGTGTCCAATGGCACCAGTTTCTGGAAAATGCACTGCCACAGCAGTAGGTCATTTCAGCTTCCGTGCTAACCTTATAGGAAGGAAATCCAGACCCATAAATAACTTCTTACCAACATTCATGCCCAAGTTGACGCGGAGATCAACGTCCTCAGCCCAGGCATCCAGGGTTGCCTCCTTGCACATCACTGGGAAAATGCCACGGTAAAGGTGGGCCTGGCGGGCCGCCTGAGCATTACGTGTCACAGCAATAATGGGGGCCCGTGGTCGGTATCTGGACACTAGGTGGGCAGATCTGGAAAAGATTTG